ACAGTTGACAGTATAAATAATGTAGATAAAAAAATAATTTATATACTACTTATAATAAAGATTAATATATATTGTTTATATTTTTATTACAGGTTATAAATAGTTTAAACGGTCGAGAATCAACTTTACCACCAGTGGGTTGCAGTGGACTTGCAACTATGAAGAAAACTTCTACTTCAACAAAAACTAGTGCTTCCAAGTCGGCCGTTTTAGTATTATCGATTAAGGATTTTTTGGCGTTGCATACACAGAAAATTAATAGTAAAATATTTTCATTATACTTTTTATTGTTAGCGTTTTAGTTAATAATTAAGAGAAATATTTTTTATCCTTCAGGTACTCCTGTTTGTCTTCCCTACGGTTTAAAATCGTTACCCCAACAATGTCTTCCGGCCCTTGAGAATTATTCAAAATTAATTTTGTGGTTTTTTGGAAACGATGCCAATAATTGGGACACGTCCAGGAATTTTGCAAAAAAATTGAGCGAAAAACGTTGTTTATTTATAAGGTAAGGAAAAAGGACTCTACTGACGAGCAAACAGGAAAATATTTCATATAAAAGGACTCTACTGACGAGCAAACTGGGATTTATTAGAAATTATTCATAAAAAAGGACTCTACTGACGAGCAAACTTTAAATTATTTTATAGCAAAAGAACTCTACTGACGAGCAAATTAGATTTGTTTATAGCTAAGGGACTCTACTGGTGAACAAACTAAATTTTTTTATAATAGCAAAGGGACTCTACTGACGAGCAAATTAGATTTTGTTTATAGCTACGGGACTCTACTGACGAAAACCTAGAATTTTTTTGTAATAATAAAGAGACTCTACTGACGAGCAAATTAGTCAATTTAGTCAATAAAAAAGTCAATTAGTCAATTAGGTAATAAAAAAGAATTCTACTGACGAATAAACTAGAATTTTTTTATATAATAAAAAAGGGAAGGGACTCTACTGACAAGCGAACCTTAAATTATTTTACAGCTAAGGGACTTTACTGGCGAACAAACTAAAAAAATTTTTAATAGCAAGGGACTTTACTGATGAGCGAATCAGAATATTTTTATTAAAAGGACTCTACTGACAAATAAACTAGAATTTTTTTTAAAAGGGAGGGGACTCTACTGACTTACAAATTAATATTTTTAACTAATATTTATACAAAAAGGGACTCTACTGACAAGCAAACCTTAAATTATTTTATAGCTAAGGGACTCTACTGGCAAACAAACTAAAATTTTTTTATTAGCAAAAGGACTCTACTGGCGAACAAACTAAAAAAACTTTTAATAGCAAAGGAACTCTACTGACGAGCAAATCAGATTTTTCATTAAAAAGGACTTTACTGACAGGCAAACTGTTACTTCTTTAAAAATGATATATAAAAAAGGACTCTACTGACGAGCAAACTGATATTTCTTACAAATTATATATAAAAAAGGACTCTACTGACGAACAAAATGTTATTTCTTACAAATTATATATAAAAAAGGACTCTACTGACGAGCAAAGTGATATTTCTTGAAAATCATATATAAAAAAGGACTCTACTGACTAGCAAACTGAATTTCATAAAATATATTAGTAAGAAAATTCTACTCTACTTAAACTTATTATAAATTATTTGTATAAAACGAACTCTACTGACGAGCAAATTGTAGATTTCCTAAAAATCTAGTAAAATTTTTAATCACTTTGCAAAAAAACTCTACAACAGGTTATAAAGTATATCATGCGAAAAACTTTATACTAAAACAAGAAAATGACTTTTTTAACAACTAAACAGACTTTTATCTTTATTTACAAATCGAGTTTATATTACATTTATTTTAAAACTGTTTCAACACAGTTAAGTTAATGTTACGTTTATGTTACGTGTCTGTTACGTTCACGTTACCTTTATATTACGTTCTTGTTACTTAACTCACATAACCATAGGTATATCAAGTACATATTTAAAAAATGTTACAAGAAATTATCTAATTGAATTGTATGTAATTATAAAATATAGTTAGTATAATTTATTAGTATTAAATAATTATATTTATTATTTATATATAAATTTTCATATTTTTAGGCCTACAGAAAATCAACAAAGACCCTACCAAGCGATAAGTACAAAACAAGATCTAAAACAGATTATCAAATGCCCAAACGATTTGGCATAAGGCTATCACAAGTTTTAGTGCTTTGCGAGAAGATGTTCTGTTGGAATTGCAAAATATAGAAAAGGTATGGAAATTTAAACAATCGCATAATTTACAAATACTTGTAATATAGATAATTTGATAATTGATATTGGTATAAAGATATAATATTACAATTAATGATAAAAACACAAATATTATACCATAAATTCAAATTCAAATGTTAACGGTCGCGAAAGAGTTGACAGTACCAACCCGCGGCTAACTTCATTGTGTCGGGTACATTGTTCGTAATTAAATGCAGTAATTTCAAAACATTTTATATACAAATTATAATAAGTTGTTTTGCTGCATTCAATATGTAATTAGTTTTATCTTTATTTAATTATAACTTTAATTTAAATAAAACAATGTATGTGCAAATAGTTCTTACGGTTCTTACAACAAATTACTGCATAAATATATATATATATATATATATATATATATATATATATGAAGTTGTCGCATACGGTGTTGACAGTTCCCAACGAGCGCGCGAAATTTAAAATAGACATTTCAATATAAACAGTTTTGTTTAAATTTAATTAACAACTTTTTTGATATTAAAACTAACTTTAGGCGAAGTGAAGATTATTGGATTGTATACAAAACTGGTTTGTGATTATCTTAAAATAAATGAAAGATAATAAACTAATAAATAAGGACAGAGTACGAACATAATATGAAAGGAAACAGGACAGAGTACGAACTTATATTAATCATAATATATTAGTCGTGAATTTTGAATTACACATTTTAATTTAAACAGTTTTGATCATTTATATTTGTAATTTGAATTTACTTTATCTATTAATTAGTTGTTATCATTATTAAATCATTAAAGGTATGGGAATTTAAATAATTGCATTATTGTGTATTATGTGTACAACTTTGCTTCCGCCGTTTTCCAAGGGAAATTCTTTACAATAACGTCGGAAGCAAAGTTGTACATGTAATGCATTTTTAAATACATTTTAAAGTATACCGAGTTGTTGTAGGTCATCATAATGTTAGACAATATTGTAAATTGTTTAATTTTCAACAAATTTGCCGAAGACATCGTTCATATTAAACAAATGGTTTAGAAGTTATGGCATGTATGATACATCAGTGCTTTAAATTTCACACAACTTTGCTTCCGCCGTTTTCGATACGAATTCTTCACAATAACGGCGGATGCAAAGTTGTACACGTGATATGTTTTCAAATGCTATTTTAAAGTATGCCGAGCTGTTGTACGGCTTCATAATGTCAGACAACATTGCAAATTATTTAATTTCGAACACAATTTGCCGAATGCTTCGTTCACATCAAACGAATGGTTTAGAAGTTACAAGCATTGAAACAAAAATTTTCACCAAGTATACTATATTCCAAATCAAGATATCAATGCACACTGTATGAAAAAAATCTGTGACATATCGTAGTTTGTATGGAAACTAGTATACTTTACACTCGAATCATTTGTTTGGTTTCAATTGCAATTTTAAAGTATACCGAGTTGTTTTAGGGCATTGTGACATTAGACAATATTGTAGATTGTTTAATTTTGAACAAATTTGCCGAATATTTCATTGAATTGGATGAACTGTTCAAAAGTTGCAAGAGTATAAGCTATATTTCGTACTGCCGGTCAAAATATGAGTTAAAAAGTTTGACTTCAAATTTTTATACTCATATTTTATTTATGTAAGGCTAAAAATTAACAAAACATCCGTAGTTTATGTATACATATATTTTTTCAAATGAATTTTAATCATAAACTTGCCTTGGGAACAGTGAGTCATTTTTTTAATCTACAAGATCTATATTTTATTTTGCTCGTCAGTAGAGTCCTTTTTTATAATGATTATTTATGCTCGTCAGTGAGTCTTTTTTTAATCTGTATTTTATTTGCTGTCAGTAGAGTTCTTATATTGTTTATTTAGTTTAATGGAGCTCTTTTTATAATGATTTATTATTTTACTGTCAGTAGAGTCCTTTTTTAATCTAATACATTGATATTAAACGTTGTTCGTCAGTAGATTCCTTTTTCATCTTGATTAATATAATTTGCTCGTCAGTAGAGTCCCTTTTTTAATCAGATATTTTAATTTGCTTGACAGTAGAGTCTCCTAATTAATTGCTCGTCAGAAAAGTCTCTTTCTTTAATCTGTTAAATTTTATTTTTTTAGATATATTTAGTTCCTTTGTCAGTAAAATTTGTAGCTTCTTATATTATTTTATTTTTGATTAGTAGAATCTTTAAAAAAAAATAATTTAATATACACATCTCTGAAATTGTACTGGATGCTAAAATATTACAGGTCTATGTTAAGTGACTCGATTATAAGTTTATTTAATTTTTATTGAATAAATCTACTACTCCACGTACCATCAAATTCATATAACTCGCCTCAAGGCAAAATGCCATTTACACCACTAAATTACACTAACATTTGTACTAAAAATATATCACTAACGCTGACCATGCACATCCGAGCCTAAGTAAAAATGTATGAGAAAGCGTAGTGTTAGGTTCGGACGACATGGGAAGCATATAAGTTAAATCTTAATTTTTGCCAAAAAGTAACTTCAACTGTCTTGTTATTAATTCATTATCTATTATAAGGTAGCTGGTGTCAAATGGAAACGTTATCCTGTCTTGAATCGAATATTAAAGGACACAGACGAGGTGAGCTGACAGTTTTTAACAGGACCTACGGGCAGTGGAAAGACTACATTTATGAGCGAATATTCTTTGGACTTGGCGATGCAAGGGGTAAATAATAATATATAGTTGCATATTGTTAGAAAGCCAATAAAATTATCTACAAATCTGTATATAACACTTTACTACGTTTCAAACATAATTATTCACAAAATAGAAAATTATAGATAATTATAAAACCCAAACTTCATATTGTAAATTCAAATTCAAATGTTAACGGTCGGAAAAGTGTTGACAGTACCGAACCGCGTACAACTTCATGCTTTTGGGTACATTGTTCAAAATTAAATGCAGTAATTTTAAAACATTTTATATACAAATTAGTATATGAAATAGTTTCATAGTTTGTACGTTTATTTTATTATAAATAATCAAAATATAATATTAGTATTATATATTGTTAATAATAAATTTTTTTATATTTTTTTAGGTTAGTACCCTATGGGGTAGTTTTGAGATCCAGAATGCAAGATTGGCTCGAGCGATGCTGCAGCAGTTTAGTGGGATTAAATTAGATGATAATCTGCAGGAGTTCGATTATTGGGCTGATAAATTTGAGGAGTTGCCGATTTATTTTATGATGTTTCATGGGCAGCAGAGTATTAAAGTCGTTATGGATGTAAGTAGATTTTTTTTTAGAATACTTTGTGAGATTTGATTTTTTCAAGCATTTAAGGTAAAAATTTTGGTGTAGAACAATTCTTTTCCTGATAACATTCTTAGACACTTTGCTATGTTTCTAAACTACTTCAAATAATTTTAGACCATTTTGAACATTTTTTATTAACGCAACATTTTGCAAGTCGAATGAGAAGTATAATTTTAATAATAACAACTGGTATTAAAATCAATTTAAACCTTTTTTTACAATTATGACATAACTGAGTTCAATATTTACATTTATTACATATAAATATTAAAGTTTGAAGATTTTTTTAAATTAATTTTGTTAAAAAAGTTATTAAAGGTTATATACAGATTTGTAGATAATTTTATTACCTTTCTAACGATAAATAATAATATATATGTGTTGGAACAAATTCTAGCATTATAACCGTCATTAGAAAAAAAATGTAACCACTGACTACAGTTTCAACTTTACAAACTTCTCTTGCTAAATTTTGTTCGAAAAGTTTTTAAACGTATTTACAGATTTGTAGATAATTCTATTATCTTTCTAACAATATATAACACTATGCTATATTTTAATTTTTATGATAAAATAAACATGCAGCAAATGAAACTAATTACATATTGAATGCAGTAAAACAACTTATTATAATTTGTATATAAAATGTTTTGAAATTACTGCATTTAATTACGAACAATGTACCCGACACAATGAAGTTAGCCGCGGGTTGGTACTGTCAACTCTTTTTGGCAGTTGAAGTTTGAATTTGAATTTACAATATAATATTTGTGTTCCTAGGTGAATTTATTAATTAGTTTGCTTGTCAGTGCTGTTTTTTTCTTATTTTCTTTACAGTTAGTTCGTTTGTCAGTAGAGTTCCTTGTTTTTTGTTATTTTTTTTAATTTTATTATAGCCTTTATTATTTTTTATTCACTTGATTTAGATATCCTTTTCCTTTATTTAATGTTGCTGGTCATAAACCTTGTAACTCCAGTAATAATTTATTTTTGTTTGCTAGTTAGTAGAATTATTTCAGTTTATTAATATTTTTAATGAATTAATTTGCTCGTTAGTAGAGTTCCTTCTCTCACAAAATGCCCGAATAAAGCCGATCCTTTTATATCTCTCATCTTCAAATCTCTTTTTGCTATGTCAGTTGTGTTATTTCTTTTCTTTCTTCTTTTTTCTAGTTAATTTAGTTGACTCGTTAGTCGAGTTCCATTTTTTAATAATTTAGTTTGATCGTCAGTAGAGTCCTTGTCTTATTCCTAATATTTAGTTTATACATTGATCATAATCTATTTTTTATTATAAACTAAAATAATTTATTTACAGTTCTTGTCAGTAAAGTTCTTTTTCTTCTATTCAGCTTATTTCACTTTGTTTTGATGATTTTTTTGCTGATTGTGAGTTCTTTTTTCCTCCAGTTATAATTTTGCTCGTCATTAGGGTTCCTTTTGTTTTTTTTTTAGCTTGCTTGTTGGTAAAATTCATTTTTTATTTGGTTTCATTTTGCTCATCAGTAGATTTTTTTTACTTTTTCTTTCTTATTTTGTCTGCCAGTAAAGTTCATTTTCCTTTTTTTTTGTCTTAATTTATATGTCTATAGATTTTTTTCCCCTTTTTTCATAATTTGTATGTCAGTAGAGTTTCTTTTTAATTTGTATGTTAGTAGAGTTTTTTTTTTATATCTTCCAAATCAAGTTGTAATATTGCTCGTCGGTAGAGTCTCTTTTTATTTGCCAAGACAGTTGAGATATTTTATTAGTCGAGTCAGTTAAGATTTTTTTTTGTTTCGTGTCAGTAGAGTCCCTTATTTCTTGTTTCTAGACTTAAATTTAGTTTTCTCGTCAGTAGAGTCCTTTTTTTATTTGTTTCATATCGTAACTCAGTTTGTTCGTCAGTAGAGTCCTTTTTTACTCCATGTTGCTTTACCAATGAGCAAAATATTCAACAAGTTAACAAGGAACTCTTCTGATCAATTTATTCTATTCAATTAATATACATTCTTAACTATTATTTACATATCTAAAGGCACTTCATACAATTTGTCTTAGAGCAAAATACCACCTACACCTAGTTTAGTTCATAATAAACCTAATTAAATACATTTGTTATAAAAAATATACTAACGCTTACCATGCATACCTAAGCCTAAGCAAAAACATATGAAAAACCTTGGTGTTAGGTCTGGACAAAATGGCAAAATTTTCATTCAAAATCGATTAAAACTTAAAAAAAGAGAGATAGAAGATAAGAAAGAGACTTTATTGACCACCAAAGAAAAAAATGAAATCTACAGACGAGAAAATTGAACTTCTTATTTTCAAAAATAATTTATAGAAAAGGAACTCTGCTGACGAGCAAACTAAGATACCAAAAAATGGACATCTAAACTAAATTTTGAGATAAAAAATTAAAAAGGGACTTTACTGACGAGCAGACTTTAATTTTCATCTAGAAGATTAAAAAAGGACTCTACTGACGAGCAAACTTTAATTTTCATCTAGAAGATTAAAAAAGGACTCTAATGACGAGCAAATTTCAATTTTCATCTGGGAAATTATAAAAAGGGACTACTGTCGAGAAAACAAAATAGAAAATTTGAAGTATATAAAAAAGAGACTCTATTGATTAGCAAATTTTAATTTTGAGCTGAAATATAAAAAAAGACTCTACTGACGAGCAAGCATAAATTGCAAACTAAACGATAATAAAGGGACTCTACTGACGAGCAAATCAAATTAAAAAGTAAAATTGTATTATTTATGTTTGCTCATCAGTAGAGTTCTTTTATCTTCTTACTCAATATTTAGTTTGCTCGTCAGTTGAGTCCCTTTTTTATCTTCTAGTTTATTTAAAATTTAATTTCCTCTTAGAGTTTCTTTCCTTATATTTTAGTTCGAAATTATATTTGCTTGTTAGTAGAGTCCCTTTTCACCTTCATTTTATTCCTCTTAGAGTACTCTATTTAATTCAAAACACAATTAACATAATTAATATTGTCTAATAAAATTAGACATAAATTGTCTAAAGAGAAAATAAAATTGCACAGTGTGAAACATACTTTATGGTAAAGTCAATGCCACACTTGCAATTTTATATTTGGGAGCAAAAACAACTTCTATATGGGGATGCACACATGTGGTAGCGTCTTTAGGGTATAAAGCTGTTTTCACACTTGGGATTTTAAATAAAAATCGGATTTAAAACTTGAAATAAAATGTGAAAGTTTTATAAATTATTAGGAAAGTGTTATGCAACTTGTCTTAAGTTAAAATTTATCTTAAACGTGGTTAAATAATCAAATATGTAATGAAAAAAATAGAAATAAGAAAACGTAAGAAGTATTCTAGATAAAAATCTTGTTTGCTCGTCACTTGAGTACCTTTTATAAATATTCTAGATAACAATCGAGTTTGCTCGATAGTAGAGTTCCTTTTTTCACTTTATTTTAGTTTGTTCGTCAGTAGAGTTCTTTTTTAATGGAGTTTTTTTTAGTTTTTTTAGATTTTTTTTTCAGAGACTTTCTTAATTCGTATATCAGTACAGTTCTTTTTTACATTTTTATTGTTAAGTTTTCACCAGTAGAGTTCTTTTATCACTTTCATCTTAATTTGCTCGTCAGCAGAATATTTTTTGTCTAATGAAAATCTACTAAAATAAGTTCTAATTTACTTGTCAGTAGAGTTACTTTTCTCTTTTATCTCTGTTTGTTTGTAAGTAGAGTCTCTTCTTTATTAGTTAAATCTATACATAATTTATTATTCAGTAGAGTCCCTTTTATATCTTTATTACAACTAAGTTTGTTCGTTAGTAGAGTTCCTTAGTTTTACTTTGTTTTAGTTTGCTCGTCAGTAGAGTTCTTTTTTTTACTTTGTGTCAGTTTGCTCGTGAGTACAGTTTTTTTTTTACTTTTATTTAGTAGAGTCAGTAGAGTTTTTTTATTTTTTTCCTAATCTCTTATGATTATTTTTTGTCTAATAATTAACTACTAAAATAATTTCTAATTTGCTTATCAGTACAGTTTCTTTTTATCTTCAACATGAAAACTAAGTTTGTTTGTCATTATTTTTTTCTAATATATCACATTACATTTTTGCTTGTCAGTAGAGTCCTTTATCTATCAGGTAGTTTTATATTACAATTTTATTTATTCGTTAGTACAGTCCTTTTTCTTTTCGTATCGATTTACATTTAATTGCCTTTAATTGTTTCAATTTTTTTCCATCACGAAAGTCTATATTTAATTTGCTCGTTAGTAGAGTCCCTTGTTTATATTCGAGATTGAAATTAAGTTTGCACGTCAGTAGAGTCCTTTTTTACTTCATGTTGCTCTACCAATGATCAAACTAAACAAAAAAAGTCAAAAGGGATTCTACTGACGAGCAAAAAATGTACCAAGGTAATATGGGACTCTACTGACGAGCAAAATAAATAATTTAATATAAAAGATAAGAAAAGGGACTCTACTGACAAACAAATTAAATTGCCAGAAAAAAGAAACTACTGATTTTTTAAAATGGAACTGTACTGACGAGCATACCTCAATTTCGACCTAGAAGATGTAAAAAAAAGATGTAATTTTAATGTACAAAATAAGAAAAGAGACTCTACTGACGAGCAAACTTTAATTTTTATCTAGAAGTTTAAAAAAAGGACTCTACTGACGAGCAAACTTAATTTTAATCTAGAAGTTTAAAAAAGGATTCTACTGACCAGCAAACTTAAATTTATCTAGAAGTTTAAAAAAAGGACTCTACTGACGAGCAAACTTAAATTTTTTATCTAGAAGTTCAAAAAAGGGACTCTACTGACGAGCAAATTTGAATTTTTATCCAGTATGATTAAAAAAAGGACTCTTCTAACTTTAATTTTTATCTAGAAGATTAAAAAAAGGACTCTACTGACAAGCAAACTTTAATATAGAAAATAAGAAAAAGGACTCTACTGACGAGCAAACTAAATTTTGAGCTAAAGTATTAAAAAGGGACTCTACTAACGAGCAAAATGAATATTTTAATATAGAAGATTAAAAAAGGGACTCTACTGACAAGCAAACTTACATTGCAAATTAAAATATAAAAAGGGACTCTACTGACGAGCAAACTAGCTTTTTATCTAGAATATTAAATAAAGGGACTCTACTGACGAGCAAATTTGAATTTTATCTAGAATATTGGAAAGAAGGACTCTACTGGAATGAATCGAAATTTTTTAGATATCGTGTTTGCTGTTTGTCTTTTAGTTTGCAATTCAAGTATGCATTGTATTGACGTAAATTGTAAATATTGAATTTAAATAAAGTATCTATCTATCTATATATATGTATTAGGGTGGTTCTTAATATGGACATTTTTGGGAAATTTTTTGATCCCAAGGGCTCAAACGCTTCTAAATTAATAAAAGAAAATTCTCGGAAAGTTTCAGCTCTTAATATTAACGTTTAGATAGTCCGCCATTCAATTGAAAGTTCCGTATATTCATTATTATCATTGCGCTCTATCTAAAAATTAATATTAAGAACTAAAACTTTTAGAGAATTTTTTTTTAAATTTGGCATCCTTTGAGCCTTGGGAGCAAGAAAATTCCCAAAAATGTCCATATTAAGGACCACCCTAATATAATATATCTTTATTTTAGGCAGTAGAGCACGCCCAATACGTCCACGACATCTCCCACGTCATCATAGACAACGTCCAGTTCATGATGGGAATATCGTTCGACGACCGCGGTGGCGCCGCCAACGACAAGTTCCACAGACAGGACTCGATCATAGCTCACTTCAGACAGTTCGCGACAAGGAAGAACTGTCATGTCACTTTGGTCATACATCCGAGGAAGGAGAGGGACAGCGAGGATCTGAATGTGCATTCTATATTTGGAAGTGCTAAGGCTACGCAGGAGGCTGATAATGTGTTGATTGTGCAGGATAAGAGGTTGAGTTCTGTTAGGGGAAAGAAGTATTTGCAGGTAATAAAGGATTTATGGTTTAATAAAGGGATTGTACTGACGAGCAAACTCGATTTTTATCTAGAACATTAAAAAACACAGAGTTTTTCCTTATTTTTTATATTCAAATTGTAAGTTTGCTCGTCAGTAGATTCCTGTTTTAAAAGTCCCCTTTTTTAATATTCTAGATCGAAATTGCAATACAAGTTTGCTCGTAGATCGTCAGTAGAGTCCTTTTCTACCATATTCTTTCACAAGACGGTTTTTATTTTTATTATCCGTAAAGAAATAGAAATCTTCTGCATTTCTATTTTGTTTGCTCGTCAGTAGAGTTCATTCTACATTATTCTACATCGAAATTGAAGTTTGATCGTCAGTAGAGTCTTTTTTTAATTTTTTATCTCAAAATTTAGTTTGCTCGTCAGTATAGTCCTTTTTTCTGGTAACTTAGTTTGCTCGTCTTTTTTCTACCAATCTCTTCTAAAAATAAGAAGTTTAATTTGCTCATCAGTAGAATTTTTTTTTATCTTTTAGAACAAAATTCATTTCGCTCGTCAGTAGAGTTCTTTTTTCATTTTCTAGATTAAAATTAAAGTTTGCTCATTAGTAGAGCTCTTTCTAGTTATTTTTCTTTGCTCGTCAGTAGAGTCCCTTTTCTTATTTTCTACGTTAAAATATTTATTTTGCTTGTCAGTAGAGTCCTTTTTCATATTTTAGCTCCTAATCAAAATTTGATCGTCAGTAGAGTCCTTTTCTCGTTTTTATTTTTTGTTAGTTTGATGATTGACAATGTTTAAATTTTTTAACTTCCCAATTGATGATTGATGGTTTAATAAAGGGACTCTACTGACGAGCAAACTTTAATTTTTATCTAGAATATTGTAAAAAAGGGACTCTACTGACGAGCAAACTGAAGCAGAGTTTTTGACATTGAAATTTCTAAACTTAATTTAAGAATATTTTTATAATATCGATTTTGTTTTATATTATTTTTTACACTTAACTAATAATACAATATTAATTTCTAAACTAATATTGGTTGTTAGTAGAGTCCCTTAAATAGATATTTTTAAGAAATTTAGTTTTCTTGTCAGTAGAGTCATTTTTTTGTTATTTTCTTTGTCAGTAGAGTTTTGTTTTGTATTTTGGCTCAAAATTAAAGTTGTTTGTCAGTAGAGTCCCTTTTCTTATTTTTCTACATATTTTTTTTTTATTTTGCTTGTTAGTAGAGTCCTTTTTTCATCCTACAGTCTAAAATTGAATTTTGGTTTAGAAAATTGAAAAAAAAGAGACTCTACTGACGAGCAAACATGATTTCAAAGGAATTTTTTGAGATCAACTTAATTTAAAAAACAAACTGAGAAAAAAGAACTCTACTGACAAGCAGAATGAAAGATTGAAGAAATTTAAAATGGAACTCTACTGACGAGCATACTTTAATTTCGATCTAGAAGGGACTCTACTGATGAGCAAATTTGAATTTTGTATTAGAACATGAAAAAGAGACTCTACTGACGAGCGAACTTTCTTGGGCTTAAATATAAAACAGAACTCTACTGACAAGCAAACTTTAATTTTGAGCTAGAATATTAAATAAAGGGAACTGTACTGACAAGTAAACTCGATTTTTATTTAGAATATTAAATAAAGGGACTCTACTGACGATCAAACTTTAATTTCGAGATACTATACTGACAAGCAAATTTTAATTTAAGGCTAAAATATAAAAAAGGACTCTACTGACAAGCAAAATGAATATTTTAATATAAAAGATAAGAAAAGAAACTCTACTGACAAGCAAAATAAATATTTTAATATAAAAGATAAGAAAAGGGACTCTACTGACAAGCAAAATAAATATTTTAATATAAAAAATAAGAAAAGGGACTATACTAACGATCGAATTAAATTGTTTGTCAATAGAGTCTTCTTTATCTTAAATTTGCTCGTCAGTAGAGTCCATTGTTTATCTTCAACATCAAAATTGCTTTTAAATAGAAAACTTAATTTGCTAGTCAGTACAATCTCTTTTTAACATTAAGTTTCCTTGTTAGTAGAATCCCTTTTTGGTAATTCTTTGGTAAACGACGAAAAAGGACTCTACTGACGATCTAGAATATTAAAAAAGGGATTTTTATCTAGAATATTGGAAAAAAGGGACTCTACTGACGAGCAAATTTGAATTTTAATATAGAAAACGAGAAAAGGAACTCTACTGACAATAAACTTTAATTTTGAATCCACTGACTCTACTGACGAGCAAAGAAAAATAAAAACAAAACCCTACTGACGAGCAAAATAAATAATTTAATATAAAAAATAAGAAAAGAGACTCTACTGACAAATTAATTAAATTACCAGAAAAAAGAAACTCTACAGAAAGCAAAGCAGAGAATTTGTTTGATCATGAAACTTAAAAGTCAGTCATTAGAATTTTTTCCTTAAAAATTGAATGTGAATTTAGTTTGTTCGTCAGTAGAGTTCCTTTTTAACGTTTTAACCCAAAAATTAAGTTTTCTCGTCAGTAGAGTCCCTTTTCTTATTTTCTACAATAAAATATTTATTTTACTTGTCAGTAGAGTCCTTTTTTAATTTTCTAAATCAAAATTAAAGTTTGCTCGTCAGTAGAGTCTTTTTTTTATCCTTTAGAACAAAATTTATTTTGGTCGTCAGTAGAGTCCTTTTTTTTGTTATTTGTCTTTACTCGTCAGTAGTGTCTCTTTTTTAAATTTGAGATCCAATTTTGCGTTGCTCGTCAGTAGAGTCCCTTTTTAAAAATTAAGTTTGCTTGTCAGTGGAGTCCCTTTTTTCTGGTAAATCACTTTGCTTGATAGCAGAGTCTATTTTTTCTGGTAATTTAGTTTGCTCGTTAGTAAAGTCCCTTTGATATTTTAGCTCAATATTTAAGTTTGCTTGTCAGTAGTGTCCTTTTTTTTATTTTATTTTGCTTATCAGTAGAATCCATTTTTATTCTCTAGTACAAAATTGAAGTTTGCTCGTCAGTAGTATCCATTTTTTAACATTTAGATCTAGATTTAATAATTTGCTCGTCAGTAAAGTTCCTTTTTTACATTATAGATTACTACAGGTAAATTATTTGTCAGTAGAGTCCTTTTTTGTTATTTTCTTTGCTCGTCAGTAGAGTTTTTTTGTTATTTTTCTTTTATCGTCAGTAGAGTTCTGTTTTATATTTCAGCTCAAAATTAAAGTTTGTTCGTTAGTAGAGTCCTTTTTTAAATAGAATTTTTTTAGAAATCATGTTTGCTCGTCAGTAGAGTCCCCCTTTTACTTAGTTTGCAATTAAGTTGTTAGTAAAGTCCCCTTTTCATGTTTTAGTACAAAATTGAAATTTGCTCGTCAGTAGAGTCCCCTTTTCTGGTAACTTAGTTTGCTCGCCAGTAGAGTCTCTTTTTTATATTTTAAATACTCTAGATTAATATTTTGTTTACTCGTCCCTATTTTTCTGACAATTTAATTTGTTCGTTATTAAGGTCCCTTTTTTTAAAAATAAGTTTGTTTATCAGTAGAGACCCTTTTTGTCTTGTATTGCAAAATTTAAGTTGTCAGTTGAGCCATTGTCTGGTCTTTTTTTGTGATTTAATTTGCTTATCAGTAGAGTTCCTTTTTATTTTCTAAGGTTATATATAATTTGCTCGTCAGTAGAGTCCTTTTTTCTATTATTTTATACTTAAAAATTTATTTTGCTCATCAGTAGTCTCATTTTTTAATATTCTTGATCAAAATTTAAGCTTGCTCAAAAGTAGGGTCTCTTTTTTCTGCAATTTAGGTTGCTCGTCAGTAGAGTTCTTTTATATAAATGATACCTAAGAAGTTCAGTTTGCTCGTCAGTAGAATTTCTTTTTTTTCTTCTAGGTCAAAATAAAAAAGAGACTCTACTAACAATTTAAGGAAATTATTTTTCTACATAACTTTTGTATTAAAACATATTGTTACGCAACCAAAAAACGATCAAACTTTTGTGTTTTACGTCTATGTTTTAAAGTATGAAGGTCGTCCTTAGAACTTTCGTATATGGATCGAGCACTGAGTGCGTCAAAAATTCTGTTTGACAGTTTTCAGTAAAGTCTAATGCTAGAAGTCGAGGCGTGTGATTCGGTCGTATATTCTGGACTTTTTTTTGAATTTATATTGCAAATATGCACAAGAGATGTAGTATACATAATTTTGATTAATTTTTTATAATTAATTAAAATTAAATTATATCACGCATATCAAATCGAACTAAGATACAATATAATGATGGTATAAATACTTTTAATTCTTGACAAGAGCCTGAAATAATATCTATTATTATTGATTACGGCTTGTTATGAATAAATAAATAAAAAATAAATAAATAATTTACAATCAGTACTTAATTTTTTTTTTTTTTAATTTTAGATTGCCAAAAACAGATACAGTGGAGATTGAGGTATAATGCCAATGGAGTTTGATAAAACCAGTTTAAGTTATGCTAGTAAAAAGAAAAGGTCTGAGGAAAAGTCTGAGAAACAAGAACAATAATAATTAATTATTATTATCGATTTAAAGGAACAAAAGTCAAAGTAATCTGTTTGTGCCATTGTAAGGATATAAACTCATTGACTGTGAAATTATTAATCTTGATTAATAGATAGTATTTAATAATTGGTAGTCTTCTAGTCTATTTTTATAAAACGTTATATATAGTTGTTGGTATGTATTATTGTTACATATATATTAATAAATAGTTGATACATTTTTTACAAAGGAAGAGTTTAGCTAAAAAATTAGATTCTATCATTTTATGTAGGACTAGATTTTCAGAAAGTATTTTTTAAAGTATTATTCTTTTAATCAATGCAATTTCTAATTTTAATTAGCACATTTTCATAACGTATTGCAAAAATATATTTTACTTAAACCCAAATATTACATTGTAAATTTAAATTCAAATCTCAACCGTTAAAACAAGAGTTGACAGTACCCATTCGCGAACAACTTCATGCTGTTGGGTACATTGTTCAAAATTAATGCAGTAATTTCAAAACAATTTATATACAAATTTTAATAAGCACCTTTTCATAACATATTCCAAAAGTATATTTTAGTTAAACACAAATATTACTTTGTAAATTCAAATTCAAATATTAACAGTCAAAACAGAGAGTTGACAGTACAGACCCGAGGACAACTTCATTGTTGTGTGGGTACATTGTTCAAATTAAATGCAGTAATTTTAAAAGATTTATATACAAATTAGTTTCATCGGTGCACGATTATTTTGATGTAAATAATAAAATATAACAATAGTATTAAATATTGTTAGAAAGCCAATTAAATTGTTTATAAATCTGCATTAACAGTTTGCTAGTGTTGGAACAAAATTATTACATATTATATATTAGAGTTCCCTTTTCTATTTGCTCGGCAGTAGAGTTTTTTTTTAAGAAAGTCCTTGCTTCTGATCCGCACAGAATGTTATTTAAATAGTAATTGTTTATTACTGTTTAAAATAACATTTATTAATTAGTAACATTTATTTAAATTTAATTGATTTTATTCTTGTTCTTTTACCCTCGGTATGTAAATTTATCAGCATTTGTATCAAAATTTAATACTTAATGTTAATGATAAAACATGTACATTATACTGTAAATTTAAATTCAAATGTCAACCGTCAAAACAAGAGTTGACAGTACCAACCCGCGGACAACTTCATTGTGTTGAGTACATTGTTCAAAATTAAATGCAGTTATTTTAAAACATTTTTATACAAATTATAATAAGTCCGGGATTGCTCAAGAATTATTTATAAGAAAAGACTCTACTGACGAGCTAACCGGGATTTCTTAGAAATTATTTGTATAAAAAATATAAGCGTTTTTTTTTTAGAAATTGCTTATATAGGAAAGGACTCTACTGACGAGCAAACTAGAAAATTTTTATAGGAAAGGACTCTACTGACGAGTACACCTAGATTACTTAGAAACTATTCATAAGAAAGGACTCTACTGAATGTCTACTGACGAACAACTAAAAAATTTGTATAGGAAAAACACTACTGACGAACAAACCGGGATTTCTTAGGAATTACTAATATAAAATGACTCTACTAACGAGCAAACTAGAAAATTGTTCACAGGAAAGGACTCTACTGACGAGTAAAACTAGATTACTTGGCAATTTTTATGAGAAAAGACTCTACTGACGAGCAAACCGGGATTTATTACAAATTATTAATATAAAATAACTCTACTAACAAGCAAACTAGACGATTGTTTCCAGAAAAGGACTCTACTGACGAGTAAATCTAGATTACTTGGGATTTTTTATGAGAAAGGACTCTACTGACGGGCAAACTAGAAAATTTTTATAGGAAAGGACTTTACTGACAAAAAAACTAGAAATTGTTTATAGGAAAAGACTCTACTGACGAGTAAATCTAGATCACTTAAAAATTATTCATGAGAAAGGACTCTACTGGCGAACAAACTAGAAATTTTTTATAGGAAAGGACTTTACTGACAAAAGAACTAGAACATTTTCATACAAAAGGACTCTACTGACGAGTAAATCTAGATTACTTGGGATTTTTTATGAGAAAGGACTCTACTGACGAGCAAACTAGAAAATGTTTATAGGGAAGGACTTTACTGACAAAAAAACTAGAAATTGTTTATAGGAAAAGACTCTACTGACGAGTAAATCTAGATTACTTAAAAATTATTCATAAGAAAGGACTCTACTGACGAGCAAACTGGAATTTATTTTATTATTTACTAGGAAAGGACTATACCGACAAGCAAATTAAAATTTTGTAGAAATTTATATTCAGAATAGCATTCCACTGAAAAGGAAATTAGTTTGATTACAAATCTGATTGAAAAACAAGAAAAAGAACCTACTGATGAGTAAACAAGAATCGGGGACTCCACTGACGAGCAAACAAGAAAAAGGGACTCTACTGACGAATAAATTTAGATTTTTTAAGAGTTTACATAGGAAAATGAAAAAGGAAGTCTGTTGAAGAGCAAACTGGACTTTTTGGTTATAAAAATGACTCTATATTTGGTTATCAGGTAATAAAATATATTGCATAAATTACATAATTCGTTCTCTATTGCTTGTGAAATTATATTGCAACAAAATTCAATCAATACATTAAAACAATATAATACAATACAATACATACATACATACATATAATACAATACAATACATAAATTGTTACAGGTAGATTCTCACCAAGTGCAATTTTGGTTAAACAATTATTGGAAAAGTTATTATGGAAAATTATGAAAATTATTATGGAATTCAGCTCTTATATCGTATTATAATATAATTATACCTATAAATAATAATAATTATATCTATAAATTAAGTTCATAATTAAACCTTCTCACAGGCCTATAATATTTTACACATTTATTTAAACTTTATAACAATGTATAAAACAAAATTTGATTCGATTTGTTCGGATTCAACTAAACTTTAAAACTTCAATCAGATTTAGTAACATTCATTAAATAGAGAATTAAACCTATTCGGAGGCCTATATTATTATTTTTATTATTATTATGACTTTAACACATTTATTTTAACTCTAACCCTGTATAAATAAAATTTGTACGTAAGAAACAATTAAAACACGTTATTCTAACTATAAATCTAGACAATATTAGAATACCATATATTCATTACAGTATGTATGATAATTGACGATAATCACACATAAACAAAATTTACAATTTCAAACCTACTTCTAAATTCAAATTTAAATCCCCCGCGCTTGACAGCACCAACTCCTCCCGCCAACTTCACTCTTATTAGCAACTATCAACCTCCTTCACACGTCACGTGTTAACTTTTTACATCGTGTGCACTTGCACAAATTAAAAACACAAAAAACATTAATAATATATGAATAAACGTGATTTATAAAAATTTAAGTAATTAAAAATGAAGCTTTTAATCTTGTTTTTAATTTCATGTACATTTCAATTAGCATTGAGTGATAATAATCTTGGAGACCAAAAAATTGCCAAGTGTACTGATAGTAACTCTAATCAGGAATAAGGGGCACACTTTGCCTTATTTTTTTAGTCTTTTGGAGTCTCTGAATTATCCTAAGGACCGAATTTCATTATGGTAAGCGATAATAAATATATGTAGTAATTTATTTGGGTTTAGTTGTTGATAAACATTTTTTTTTGTTGGAGGTTATGTTGAAGTGTCAAAACAGATAACACATAATTTGTTGTGTTTTTTGGTTAATTTAAGGTTCTGTTTGTTTAAATGATTAAATAGTATTAGTAAAAATCTATATTTTTATTGTTTGTATTATTTAATTAGTGTTAAAAGTGTTTTCAATGTTTGTTATAAGTTTGAGGTTACGTGTGGGTGTCTTGCAATATAACAAATATGTAATTTTTTAAGTTTATTTGATCTTTTAGTAGTCCAAATTAGCTTATTTATATTCCCCATGGTCTAAATTTTATCATAATTACTATATGTGGTTATCAATCAAAATTATTTGCAAATTTTATGTTTTACTTGCTGAATAAGTTTGAGGTTATGTGTAGGTGTCTTGCAAGATAAATATGTCATTTTTTTACTTAATTTTACATTATAGTTGTAAAAAATAGTTTATTTATATACTCCAAAGCCTAAATGTTACTACAATAATGATATTTGTCGTTATCAATCAAAATTAATCCCAAATTTTATGTTTTACATGCTGAATAAGTTGAGATTATGTGTAGGTGTCTTGACTGACAACAAATATGTAATTTTTAAGTTAATTGCACATTATAGTATACTATAAAATTGTTTATTTATATACTCCAAAGCCTAAATGTTACTTCAATAATGATATTTGTAGTTATCAATCGAAATTATTTGCAAAATTATGTTTTAGTTCCTGAATAAGTTTGAGGTTATGTGCAGGTGTTATGTGTAAAGAAAATGTAATTTTTAAGTGTTTTTTCTTATTGTTGATGTTTAAAATCTATGATTTTGAATGCAGAATGTTTTATATTTACGTGTTTGTTCTATTTTTGGGGTTTGTCGAAGGTTTTTTTGAGTTTGCAGGAAGGTTGGTCACTCAAAGAGTATCGAGTACTTTGTGATTTTACTTTATATATATATATATATATATATATATAGATATATATATATATTATATAATATCATTAACTATTATTATTTTTTTATTTCAGGATAAGAAGCGATAACAACATCGACCATTCCCTAGAAATAACAAAACTGTTCCTGGACAAAATTTCAGAACAATATCATTCAGTCGACT